GGGTGGACTTGTAGGTGTGCTGGTGGGACCCCAGTGAGTCAGTTGACCCAGCTGGAGCTCCTTCCTCTCTCCTCCCGTTGCCCTCTACATGGTATCTGCTGGAATCAACTCCTCTTCTTGCAAGGCAAGAGAACCACAACATTTCTCTGGACCAGGTGTCTCCCTGGTGCACTTTGGAGATGAAATTCACGCTCCTGAACTTAGGGCAGTTAACTTTATGCACAGTAAAACCCAGCAAACCAAACCTGTTGCCGCTGAGTCGATTCCGACTCATAGCGACCCTATAGGACAGAGTAGAACTGCCCCATAGGGTTTCCACGGAGTGGCTGGTAGATTTGAACTGCTGACCTTTCGGTTGGCAGCCATAAGTCTTAACCTCTGTGCCAGCAGGGCTTCTCATGCACAATGATACATGCCTATTGGGAGGGTGTCTTGGTCTTCTAGTGCTGCTGTAACAGAGGTAGCACAGTGGATGGCTTTAACAAAGAGAAATTTATTCTCTCACAGTTCAGTAGGCTAGAAATCCAGATTCAGGATAAAGCTCCAGGGGAAGGCTTTCTCTCTCTATCAGCTCTGGAGGAAGGTCCTTGTGATGCATCAGTCTTCCCTTGGTCTGGGAGCATCTCAGCACAGGAACCTCAGGTCCAAAGGACGCCCTCTGCTCCCAGTACTGCTTTCTTGGTGGTATGAGGTCCTCATGTTTGTCTGCTCACTTCTCTCTTTTATATCTCAAAAGAGATTGGCTTAAAACATTACCTAATCTTATAGACCTCATCAATATGACTGCTGCTAATCCATCTCATTACATCATAGTGATAGAGTTTACAACACATAGGGAAATCACATCAGAAGATAAAATGATAGACAGTCATACTGGGAATTATGACCTAGCCAAGTTGACAGATATTTTGCGGGGACACAATTCAATCCATGACAGAAGGGCACCTGCTTTTTATGAGGTACACTGGTGCTTCATTTAGGGTAAGCCCAGAAATAACTATGATGTCCCTCACCTAACTTGTATTTTGATCCAGAAGCTTTACCTTACTTGAACATCCATGAATTAGTTATATCCTTTAGAAATTATTTAGGATAAACAAAAAAAAAAAACCATTTGCCATTGAATTGATTCTGACTCATGGTGATCCTATGTGTGTCAGAGTACAACTGTGCTCCATAGGATTTTCACTGGCTGATTTGTCAAAAGTAGATTGCCAGGCCTTTCTTCCAAGGTGCCTCTGGGTGGATTCAAACTGCGAATGTTTTGGTTAGTAGCCGAGAGCTTATAAAGTTGTTTGAACTTTTAAAAACTGTGTGGCTCAGTGGCCCCTCTCGGTTTTTTTGTTCCTTGTGAACGATGTGGGTTCTTTCCTTTTCTCTTCCAGCAGGGCATTTTATTTGCTTGGACTTTTAAAAGTGGTTTCTCTGAGGTAAAGATTCTGAAAAGAACTTACCGGCGAGAACAAAACAAATTTTTAAAAATCCTAGAAGGAATTTAATAAATACAAGGACTATGGGAAAGGAGAGAGTCCAAGGCTGATGTGTGTGACTTTTTTTCCTCTCCCCAAACTGAAGAAAATGTTTTAAAAGCAGTGCCTCAGTTTTATGTGATTGCCACCCTTTTAGTGGTCAGTGGGGGACATGTTAGCTTTTCCAACAATTTAGATATGCTTTTGTTTTTAGTGCTAGTCATTGTAAGAATTCAGCAGACTAGAAGCATCTCGTACGCAAAATCCGTTTGCTTTTACCTTGGTGTGTTTGTTAGCCTGTAGCAGCTTCAGTTTTCCTCGTCTTATTTTAAAGGTAGCAATGCCTTTCGTCACTCTAGGCTTGCCCCTCTCTCATGGAAGCAGGGAATAGGTCTCCTTTTTCCCCGCAGTGCCGTCATTGGAAATTTGGTTGCTGTGCTGAATTTTAAGTTTTGGCACTCATGTTGAGCAGCCATTCATCTGCTGGCGAGACACACTGCCCCGGGCTTTTCAAGAAATCCCTTAATAGTCCTGAACACTAATAATATTTATATACGTTGAGATGAGACAAAATTTACAGCAGGCTTCTGGGGCTGGCTCCAGGACTCCCTAATCCCAGACTTCCGCGTGCACCCCTGCCTGGCTCCCAGAATCCTCTCAGGCTTGTTCCTCAGTGAGGTAGGCACTGGCTTCCCCCTGCAGCAGCGACGTCCTCCTGATGGCGCGTTGGCTTTAGTACACAAATCACTCCTCTCTTGATCTTCTCCCTGCCCTGGCGTACGCCTTTTTTGTCCTCCATGGAGTGTTTGCTACGTGTTGGTGCACAGTTTGCATCATTTAACGTACAGGACCCCCTCTATCTGTGATCCCTTTAAGAGGAATTGTTCTGTCTGTAAAGAAAATGATGTTACCTAACTGAAGCTTGAAGGCATTGGTGGTTCAGTGGTAGAATTCTCGCCTTCCATGCAGGAGACCCAGGTTCGATTTCTGGCCAATGCACCTCATGTTCAGCCACCATCCACCTGTCAGTGGAAGCTTTTGTGTTGCTATGATGCTGAGCAGGTTTCAGCGGAACTTTTAGACTAAGAAGGACTAGGAAGAAATGCCTGGTGACCTACTTCTGAAAATCAACCAATGAATACTCCGTGGGTCACAATGGTCCAATTTGTAACCCATCATGGGGATGGCCAGAACCAGGCAGCGTTTTGTTCTGTTATGGATGGGGTCACCATGAGCTGGAGGCTGACTTGATGGCAGCTAACCACAATTTAAGCTTTATTGATATTCCTTCAGAAGTAGCTGCCACCACTGAAATAAAATCCTATGTCCCTGCCCTGTGTATTGGTTGGGGCATGAACTGATGCCCATGCATTTCTGTTTAAACACCCCTTTGAGGGTCTGCATGGGATCACTGCCCAGAGAGTCTGTCACCGGTGGAAGTAGGGAGAGATACAAAAAACATCTACCCAAAAACCTAAGAATACTTTGTATTCATTTTTTCTTTCACATATTGAAATGTCCAATATTTGCATTTGCAAGTGCCTGGGGGCATTTTTCTGTCTTTTTTAAACACTCTTGAGTTTTAGTACTATATTAGTAATTATTTGCTATTAATATCTGTTACCCATCTTGTTACAACACATTTTATTTACATTGTAAATGAGGAAAGGAGGTTCTACAAGTAGATATTGGCCCAGTTAGCCTCTGACGATAATGGATGGTAAGATTCTTAGTCAACTTTTCCTTCCTCCTGTCGAGAAGCCTGGTAGGGGCTGATGGTGAAAGAGCAGCCTCCTGAGACATTAGTGCTCCGAGGTGAATTTCTGCTGAATGCTGGTAGTACGTGCCTGAAGAGCAAGATCGTGACCATCATTTCTGCAGCCAGTTGTATTTAACTACGTGGACCTCGCAGGTCTTTTCTTTTTATGTGAACTTCGTAGGTTCAACATTTCAGGGCTGCAGTATCTCCTTACTTTAGTGTCTTTATCAACTTTACCTCCATAATGGATATATTTGAAATTAATCATTTAATCTGCTTGATTATTAAATGCATTGGAATGTGAGATTTTGGTAATAGAGAGAAAGAGTGTGTGTGTGTTTTTACTGAAAAAAAAATGCTAGGGTTGTAAATCCAAGTTAGTGTTATCCTCTTCAGGTTAATAACCTTGGTAGGCAATACATGAATCTCAACATTTTAAGAGCTCCTACAACATATCCTTTTTGGAATGATAAGAGATGGTTAGTCCTTGTTCTCTGTTGTTAGGTGCTGTTGAGTCAGCTCCAACTCATAGCAATCTGTGTATAACAGAATGAAACACTGTCTGGTCCTGTGCTATCCTCACAATAGCAGGTATTTTTGAGCCCATTGTTGCAGCCACTGTGTCAGTCCATCTTCTTGAGGATCTTCCTCTTTTTCGCTGACCCTCTACTTTACCAAGCATGATGTCCTTCTCTAGAAATTGGCCCATCCTGATAATGTGTCCAAAGTATGCAAGACGGAGCAATTAGAGTCACATAACAATGTATGTATAAATTTTTGTATGGGAAAAAATAAAAACATTTCAAAAAAAAGGTATGCGAGACAGTCTTGCTATCCTCTCTTCTAAGGAGCATTCTGACTATACTTCCTCCAAGATAGATTTTTTCATTCTTCTGGCAATCCATGGTATATTCAACATTCTTTACCAGCACCATAATTCAAATGTGTCAATTATTCTTTGGTCTTCCTTGTTCATTGTCCAGCTTTCATATGCATATAAAGCAATTGAAAAGACCATGGCTTGGGTCAGGCACACCTTAGTCATCAAAATGACATCTTTGCTTTTTAAGATTTTGAAGAAGTCTTTTGCAACATATTTGTTCTTTATGATGAGTAGGTTAGTTTTGGGAAATAGCTAGAAGTCATTTGTTCTGGTGAACAAAATGAGTGAATAGGTTGAGGACGTGATATAAACCAAAAGGAATGGTTTTCTTCTTGATTTATACATACCTCTGAAGATGTGTCTTAGTTGGAATTAGTTCAGTGACATATAGCAAATAACTGTCATTTAAAGAAGATAAGTTCATTTCTCTCTCACATGAACAAGTCTGGAAGTAAGCTGCCCAAGGTTGTCGTTGGTGGCTCAACAGTCATAAGGAACGCAAGCTCCTTTTATCTCACTTTGCCATTCTTAACTATGCTACCTCATGGTCTAAGATGGCTGCTTGAGCTCCATACATTACTCCTACTTTCCAGCCAGCAAGGAAGAGGAAGGGCATGCTTTTCTATTTTAAAGACTCTTCTAGAGAGTTCTATGCAGAAAGTTTACTTATGTTTCATTGGCTAGAACTTCAGTCACATGGCCACTTCTAGTTACAAGGGAGGCTAGCAGATGTATTATCTAGGTGGATGGCAGTATAATATGTCTAACTAAAAATCACGGTTATATTACTAAAAAATGTAAGAAGAATAAATAATAGAAGACAATCTGTTGTCTCTGTCAAAGAATTATTTCAAAGGAGAAAGTTGCAAAATTATGTTAAGCTGACACTATCATGAAATTAAGTCTGTTCTCTTCCAAGATGATACCATCTATTGAATGTCCACCTTCCGATATCTGTGTTTAAACTCACCTGTTTGCAGTGAAGCAGGGGTTCTTAGACACAGCTAGTGGGAGTGTAAGTAGGTACAAATGTTCTAGAGGACAGCTTGATCCTGCAAAGTCAGCTCTGGAAATTTATCCTAATGAAATAATTAAGGATGCTCATGAAGAGTGCAGTCCTGATTGTAATAAAAGAAAAGCTGGGGATAGATGAAATGTCTAATAGTACGAGACTGGTTGTAACTTCTGATATACTGAACAAGGGGATGTAAAGCAGATGATAAATGATAGTGGGATTCACAATATATCCAATGCAAAAAGAAAAAAAAAGGCTTGACCCTTTTTTGTAGATACTTGTATTTACATGTGAATGCACATGCATGGGAAGGGACGTGGGAGGGTCCACACGAAGGTATTGACCAGAAGCCCTTTGTGGGCAGGAAGCCTGCATGTTGTTTATATCCTCCTGTCCTATTGGTGCCCTATCAGTGATCTCTGATTTTTTTCGAGTATGAATTTTTATTTTAAGAAAAGAATAGAATCTTCACTAAGTAATGCATGTCAGAGTCAAAATATACATATTTAAATAATTTCGTGTTGTTTTCCAACTCAAAGAAAAAGTAGGAAATGGATAATGCAAGCCAGATCTCATGTTTTGTTAATTTATACTTTATTTGTAAGGAACGCCAATAGCCCATAGAGTGTGATCATTACAGCACTATGATGAAAATAGACGCCAGCTCATCTATTCGGGAGATGAGTTGTGGCTCTGTGGTTATTAGATACTGCTTTCACTTAGCTTTAGCACGGAGGGGCTTGGAGGAGAGGGCTTCTGATGTCTTGTGGTTCTCATGGCTTGTAGACACTGGACCCACCCACCCACTTTCTTGTACTGAAAGAATAACCATCGGGTATGGTTAACTTCTCCGTGATTTGATACATTAGGACGTGTAAAGAAGTTGATAGTTAATATCATTGCTTATTTCTCACTGGGTGAAAACTTTTGATATGTTATTACAAACAGATACAAGTTCTCTAAAGCCATTTTGTAGGCCCTAGAATTGTATTCTCTTTACTATATTTATAGTTTCATTGTTCTTAAAATAAAGGAGGATTTCTGCACACTAAAGCTTACGAAGAGATTTTAGTAAGGAACATATTTGAGATGCACAATGAGAAAAGCATCATGCTTTTTTGAAAAATAATAATAAACCATTGTTCGTGTAGGACTTCCACATCACATACTCCTCAAGCAACCTGCTAATGTGAGTATGAGTACCCCCATTTTAAAGATGAGAAAAGAGAGGATCAAGGTCAGAGAAGTAAATGGCTTGTCCCAGACCAAAGAACAAGTAAATGGGAGAGCCTGGACTTTAAACCCTGGTCTCCTGACTCGAAGTACTGAGTTTCTTCCCCTGTGTTGGTAAAACTCGGAATAGGGTCTGTAGTACTGTTAACATCAAGTCTAAGGGGAGTGAAGGGCACAGGGATTGTCCTTTTGGTATTGCATGGAGTTGTTGGTTTTTCTTTATTTGCTGAACCAAGCAGTCTGGTGCTGGTGGTAGTGAAGACCCAGAACATGCTGGGCGGCTTTGGGACCCCTGCCAGCCTAACCCTCTCCTCTCTGCCCACAGTGTGCCCGAGTGCGTGTGGAAAGCGAGCGTGCACCGAGAACAACGAGTGCTGCCATGCCGAGTGCCTGGGCAGCTGCAGCGCGCCCGACAATGCCACGGCCTGCGTCGCCTGCCGCCACTACTACTACGCGGGCGTCTGTGTGCCCACCTGCCCACCCAACACCTACAAATTTGAGGGCTGGCGCTGCGTGGACCGGGACTTCTGCGCCAACATCCCCAACGCTGAGAGCAATGACTCCGAGGGCTTCGTCATCCACGACGGCGAGTGCATGCAGGAGTGCCCCTCGGGGTTCATCCGCAACGGGAGCCAGAGGTCAGTCGCTGGAGCTGCAGACGGCTCCCCTGCCAGCAGTGACCTGTCCTGGTCACTCTGGTGACTCCGTTGTTCTGTCTAGGTGGGACCATCAGGAGGTAATGGGTGGTGGGTCCTTTTGAGAGGGCTAGCATAGCTGGTCGTTCAGCGGTAGGGCTCTCACCTTCCATGCGGTAGACTCAGGTTCAGTTCTGGCCAGTGCACCTCATGCACAGCCATCACCTATCTGTCAGTGAAAGTTTGTGTGTTGTTACGATGCTGAACAGACTAAGATGGACTAGGAAGAAAGGCGTGGCGATCTACTTCTGAAAATCAGCCATTGGAAACCCTATGGAGCACAGTTCTATTGTGACACACGTGGGGTCGCCATGAGTCAGTATCAACTCTGTGGCAAAAAAAAAAAAGAAAGATATCACTCTGGAAGCAAAAGAAGCAGAGGTTTGGGGTTGCTATGTCTCTATTCTAGAGCAGAGCAGAGAACTTGTGGGAAAAGTTAGTTCAGCCACGAAGAGCCAGGTGTCTCTTTCATGACTAGCACTGTAGGACCCTTACGTTTCTGGGTTCTTCAAAATAAAACTATTCTACAGATATAAAATACCATTAGATAAGTACACGTGAATCTTGAATATGATACGTGACTTATCTGATTTGTGCTGCAGTCTATTTCTGTAAGTCTGTTTCACGTAAGCCTTTATAAAACGGGCTCTGTTTCTGGTGTAATATTTGGAGATGTTGTTCCTGCCACAGGCTTACCTTCAAATTCACCATCGAAGATAAAACTCACATTATTTCATAATATTACATGTACAACAGGAGTCCCTGGGTGGTGCAAACAGTTAAGCACTCAACTACTAGCCGAAAGGTTGGTGGCTCGAACTCACCCAGAGGTGCCTCAGAAGACAGGCCTAGCCATCTGCTTCTGAAAGGTCACAGCCTTGAAAACCCTATAGAGCAGTTGTACTCTGCACACAGGGTCACCATGAGTCGGAATCGACTCAACGGCAAGTAACAACAAGATATACAGCAACTTTCTGCCTGTTACAATTTCTGTAACTGTTGTGACAGAAAAATAATTAAATACTTTAAAATGATAGATGAGCCAAGGATTCCAGTGAACCATCAAGCATACATACTGTATCCCAAATAAGTGTACCATATCTTATTCATATTCTGTTGGCAGCCAGAAAATGGAGCAGGGCCTTACCACTGCATGCTTTGGGCCCCCACCGCGGTGTCTGGAACCAAGTTGAGGCTCAGCCACATTCAGATGTTACATTCCTCCTGGGAGTGGGATGGGGACAGCGTACTGGTCCACAGGCTTGGCGTGATAGTGCCTTTCTCCTGTGGGTCCGTTTCCTCTGACGTTTGGAGGCGTTCAGTCATCAGAGTATTGGGCGGGGGGGGAAGCACTGTGCGTTTTGACAGTGCTATTGTTTCTTCTGCGACAGTGCTGCCTTCAAAGAATTGAGCCATTTTCTTCCAACCCATTCTTCCAGTCTGTTCAAAGCTGTAGATCTACCTTTCCTATTTTGAAATACAACACCATCGGGAAGCAATCCCTGTCTCAGCCTTTAAGGCCTATTTGACACTTAAACTATTTATTTGTTTATACCCTTTATTTGTTTATACCCTCTCTGTTCCAGAATGGATTTGAGGAAGCTTAATTTGTAAACATGTAATCAGAGCCCTTTCTTAGAAAAACATTCAAGTGCTAGATTATTCCTAGACACCTTAAGAAAGGTGTTTGGTTTAAAAATTGTATGTTAAAAATTGGTGGGAGGAATCTAAACCTACACATACCTTACACACTCCTGGGCTGGTGGCTCAGTGGTAGAATTCTCACCTTACATGCGGGAGACCCAGGTTTGATTCCTGGCCAGTGCACCTCATGCACAGCTATCACCCATCTGTCAGTGGAAGTTGGATGAAAACTTATGTCCACACAAAAATCTGTACATGATTGTTCATAGCGCCTTATTTATCATAGCCCCAAAGTGGAAACAAACCCAGATGTCCTGCAATGGGTAAGTGATTAAACAATATCTGGTTGCAAAAACAGCGTAGAGACAGAGTCTGACCTCTTCTCTCTTCACAAGGGGGACGGAGAATCAAGATCAACAGCCTAAGACTGATTCCTGTGAGGCAGAGGTCAGACATGCCTCCTCTCTCCACCATCTTTACAAGTTCTGACACCAACTGTCCCTGCCATGGCACTGTACTTCTCTGCTAGGTTCAGTAATTCATTGCAATGGCCACACAGAACTCACAGGCATTACTCACGATTATGGGGTTTATTAGGGAAGTTAACAGTTACAGTTCAGGCTCAGGAACACTCAGAATACAGCTCTTCCATCAGGACGGTCTCTTCCCAGCCCTGCTCACAGCACGCCTTTCCCTGGCCCTCTGTCTCTGCCCAGAGGCACTCAGCTTTCTATCTCCATGGGACGGGAAGCTGGCCATGCCATCTCCTGCTGCCGGATCTCGGTTGCTGGGTCTCTGCTGCCACTGCTTCTCACCATCTTCAGGGTTACAGCTCGCTTTCTCTCCATCTCCTGCTTCCAAGAGCTTCTCAGCGCAGGAATCCCAGTTCCAAAGGACATGCTGGCTCCTGGCTGTTCTTCCTTGGTAATGGTGTCTTTTCTCCTCCCACTTCTGGGGTGGTTCATTTCAAACCCAGTGGGATGGCAAAACTGACCAATCCCATTGGTGGGCAACAATTACTCTATCACGCAATCCCACCCAGTCACTTGGGTGGAAGTTACAAGACCATGGCTAGGAAGAACACAAAAGGGATCCATTGCACCGCAGGCCACCCCCTGGCTATTCTCGCTATGGTTCTTTCATATTTGGAGGATAACTTCCCCCTTCCAATCATTTTACCAGTCTCAAACAGTCTGTAACAGTTAGTCCTTCAATAGGGCAAAGGGTCCACAGGGTGAGGTTACTTAGGTCCCGGGCACTCAGGTCTGCTGCAGGTGTTCATCTGATCTGGTCAGGTTCTCCAAAAGTCATCTCAGCTTCTTCACCCTTCCTGTTGTCTGATAAAAATTTAACTGAGAGAAGATAATTTCCTTGCTCTGAGTCTCACAAGGTATCAACATAGCAAAACCTTTAAGGGACTGTAGGTTGGGCCTCTGTACTCCAGTCCAGCACTGCCTCCCCCTTAGTCCACTCTTTCACAGTTAGTTTCTACAATTACAGTTTTTACAATCGCAGTTAACCGTTAACCATCAACACTCGCAACTGAATCATATAATTCTATCAGCATCTTTCCCCACCCTCTCTTCCCCAGACTCATCAGGAAAAGAGGAAACTCCTCAGTGGGCATCCTCCATTGTCCCCCTTATTTAATGTAAGCACACTCATGAAAGCATGTAAGCCAGCCACTTCATGCCTTTGTTTGCCCTCGTTTTAGATAGCCAGTGTTTTAATTCCCTGTCCCTGTCAAACCAGTACTGAGGAGATAAGCATGTTCTTGGTCTTGAAGAATTTTCTCTTCTGGTTGGAACTTTGAGCATCTGTATCCATAAGCGAAGTCAGTCCAGAGCAAACCATCAAATTGCAGTGATTTACACCAGCTCATGGTGTCAAACATCTTTCTCTTCATTCCCTCTGGTTCTGGTCAGCTCATCCCTAGCCATCCAAGCTAGGTCACAATGGGTAGCAGCCTCAGGCTTGAGAGTTCACACACACCTGCCAGCACTTTGGCACTTCGACAGCCCCTTCGCACTCTCATCCCTAGCCCCCTTGGGCTATGTCAGCGGGTTCCACCCGTAAACATAGGAGTCCACACGCAACTCCCTTTACTTCTGACCAGCCAGCCTTCCTCTCACTCTCATCCCTACCTCCCATGGGCTGGGTCCACGGGGGCTGGGTCAACAGGTGCCAGTGGAGCATGTCCAAACTCAGCCTATCTCTTCATTTGCTGTACTTCCCCTACTTCCACTCATTGAGTGGACCCAGGCGGTCACCACAAGCAAGCAGACCAAGCTGTCTACTTGCTGGCTTCCTTTAACTTCCAGTCCTGGAAGGGGATTCCTTCCAAAGGACACTGATTTTTCCTGCCTAGATGCCTCCAACAGCAAACCACTTGCTGGAAATGCAAAAAGCAAAACAGTCACCTTTTTTTTTTTTTTTTTTTGCAGATCTTTCATTCAAATGCAAATCCTCTGTTCCCTCAGCAGCTCTAAGTGATTCTGCATGTCTTTTCAAATGCAAAATACGGGTGGGGCTCAAATTTTTGACCTAATACGGCACTGTGTACACAGGGCTACTTGAAACAAAAAGCCTGTGTTTCCCTTGGTCAAATCCTAGTTCCCCTTTTAGCATATCCAACCAAGTATTGGCTGACGGCAGAGTTACACACTGTCTGTCATCTATAATACCCAATATTCATGTTTATCATTCATTTAGGTCTGTTTTACAACACTAGGTAGAAGCATTCAATATCCATAGTACTTTCAATTGAACACATAATCCTGAACATGTAACCCTTTTAACTCTTTTTATTATTTTTTTATTGTACTTTAGATGAAGATTTACAGAACAGACTAGCTTCTCATTAAACAGTTAGTACACATATTGTTTTGTGACATTGGTCGCCAACCTCATGACATGTCAACATTCTCCCATTCTTGACCTTGGGTTCCCCATTACCAGCTTTCTTATCCCCTCCTGCCTTCTAGTCCTTGCCCCTGGGCTGGTGTGCCCATTTAGTCTCGTTTTGTTTTATGGACCTGCCTAATCTTTGGCTGAAGGGTGAACCTCAGGAGTGACTGCATTTCTGAGCTAAAAGGGTGCCCAGGGGGCCATACTCTCAGGGTTTCTCCAGTCTCTGTCAGACCATAAAGTCTGGTCTATTGTGTGGGTCTGTGTGTGTGTGTGTGTGTGTGTGAGTTAGAATTTTGTTCTACATTTTTCTCTAGCTCTGTCTGTGACCCTCTGTTGTGATCCTTGTCAGAGCAGTCAGTGGTGGTAGCCGGGCACCGTCTAGTTGTGCTGGACTCAGTCTGGTGGAGGCTGTAGTACTTATGGTCCATTAGTCATTTGGACTAATATTTCCCTTACGTCTTTGGTTTTCTTCATTCTTCCTTGATCCAGACAGGGTGAGACCAGTGGAGTATCTTAGATGGGCGCTCACAAGCTTTTAAGATCCCAGACGCTACTCACCAAAGTAGGATGTAGAACATTTTCTTTATAAACTATGTTATGCCAGTTGAGCTAGATGTTCCCTGATACCATGGTCCCCACAGCCCTCAGCCCAGTAATTCGGTCCCTCAGGAAGTTTGGATGTGTCTGTGGAGCTTCCATGACCTTGCCTTGGACAATCTGTGCTGGCTTCCCCAGTATAACACATAAGCCTTTTTAAAACATCCCAGTTTCATCTTCTCTTCTCAACTATCTTCCCATTTGTATGAATATGGTCCTGGGCCTCTGGCTGCGTGGAACCAGTAGACCCTGGCCCCCTATCAGTCATCCTGCTTATCTGGTCTGACTTTTGCCCCAGGCCACTCCAGGTGGGGTTTTTCCTCCCCTCAGCTGCAGCATAACCTTCCCTTCAGCCATTACAGACAACAACAACCAAAGCAACCATCCAAGAATCAAAAGTTTCATTTCCCAAGCCCCTTTGTTCTTTCTCTTACAAGGTCCCATGCTTTCATGAGTCTGGAGCCATTGACACCAACTGTTAAAACAGCGTAGAGGCGGAGTCTGACCTCCTTTCTCTTCACAAATGGGAAGGAGAATCAAGATCAACAGCCCAAGGCTGATTCCTTTGAGGCAGACGTCAGACATGCCTCTTCTCTCTACTGTCTTTACCAATTCAGACACCAACTGTTCCTCCCATGACAGTCTCTACTTCTCTGCTGGATTCGATAATTCATTGCAATGACCACACAGAACTCACAGATAATACTAATGATTATTGGGGTTAGTAGGGAAGTAACAGTTACAATTCAGGTTCAGGAACACTCAGGATACAGTTCTTCCATCAGGACAGCCTCTTTCCAGTCATGCTATCAGGCATGCCTCTCCCTGGCCCTAGGCCTCTGCCTAAAAGCACTTAGCTTTCTCTCTCCCTGGGACAGGAGGCCCACCACACTATCTCCTGTTGTTGGGTCTCTGCTGCTACCACTTCTCACTGTCTTCAGGATTACAGCTCACTTACTCTCTCTCCATCTCCTGCTTCCAAAAGCTTCTCAGCACAGGGATCCCAGGTCCAAGGGATGTGCTGGCTCCTGGTTGTTCTTCCTTGGTAGTGGTGGGCTCTTCTCTGTTTCTCACCTCTTGGGTGGCTCATTTCAAACCCAGCAGGATAGCAAAACTGACCAGTCCCTTTGGTGGGCCATGATTATCCTATCACAGTCCCGCCCAATCACTTGGATGGGAGTTACAAGACCATGGCCAGAAAGGACAAAAAAAGTGATTCATCACACGATACTGGTAAATCCACACCATGGAGTATTACTTGGCAGTAAAAAGGAATGAATTATGTATATACATAACACCATGAAGTGGTCTCAAGGACGTTATCCTGAGTAAAAAAGTCAGTCTCAGAAGGTCACATTCTGTATCATTCCATTTATATAACATTCTTGAAATGACAAAGTTACAGAGATGGAGAACAGACCAGTGGTTGCCAGACGTTAGGAATAGAGGAGGGAACGTGTGACAATGAGGGGGCGGCATGAGGAGAGTCTATGGTGATGGAAGAGTTCTGTGTCTTGGCTGTGTTGGGGGTTACTCGGATCTACAGTGTAACAAAACAACAGAACTTTGCACACACATTGTACCAGTGTTGATTCCCTGGTTTTCATGATTGCATTATCATTATGTAAGATGTAAGCATTGGGGGAAACTGGATGAAGGGTACGTGGGACCTCTCTGTACTTCTTTGCAACTTCCTGTGAATATGTAATTATTTCAAAATAAAAAATGTTTTAAAAAGGAGGGTGGGGGGATAACACAGTATGTTAATAAATTAGAAACAATAGAAGTCCAAAACACAGTTCTGAAGGGAAGTCACTACCCGCCTAGAAATGAGGATTCTGAGTATGATGTCCAAGGTTGGAGGACTCTGTCCTCCATTGGGAGGCCCAGTTCTTGCTGAACTCTTTGAAACCTTGCCTGCCATTCTTCCAACATGAAATAAGAAAATACCAGGGAAGTTTTCTTAAATAAAGCAAAACAAAACCCTGCGTCTTTGCCTTAATTATGCAACTAAAGTTCTAGGGGGAAAAAATAGACTCTAATGAAAAGAGCTATAACTGATGCTATTTTCTTGAATGTTCTTTTTCTATCTTCATGAAGTTTAAAAGATCACTTAAGAACAATAATGTTTATTTATTGACTTCCAACTCACCATCCTGTTACACACACATCCCATCAGATTGTATTATTTATTTTGTTTAGAAATTGACCCAATTTGCTGATCCTTGTTCTGTCTATAAGTTATAGAGCCCACAGGTTCAACAGCCCTGAGTGGGTTAGCATCTTGTCCCCTATTTCCTAAATGACGGTAGTGAGCAGGATAAGTGCCAATCCCTCCTCTGCACTTAACTTATATGCTACGTGGTCATCCCTGACTTTTGGTGGCTTGTGACATACTGAGGATAGCATTTGAAATAGGAGCCTATTACAAAGTAATGGAAATCCCTTGCTTTTATTGTGTATGCAAAGAAAACAACATTGGGATCAATTTACAAGTTTCTGCAAAACACTGTCAAGAAATAATTTCAGTTGTGCTTTAGCAAGAAAATAATGGATTTGTGCTGTACCACGTGACTTTGGAATCCGTCACTGAGCTTTGCTGGGGCACTGATTGCAGGAGTTGGACTGTTGTTAGCAGCAGAGACACTGTCATCCCTTTGCTGTCCCTGTTGACTCTCCCAGCGGTGCCCAGCAGAGGCTACGGCATCCAAAAAGCAGCTCTGTTCTCCTTGGGAGCCCCCAGGGCTTCCTCTCTCTCTCTGTGAGGCTATTTCTCCCACATGGAACCATCTGGCTCCCCAGTCAACAGCCTATGATACACACATGCCTCAAGGATGCATCATGGATTTTGTCTGGAAACAAGCAACAGGCTTTTCCTTTGTAGACACTTCTGCTTTTGGTTGCAATGTGCGTGGATTATCCCGAGTGGGTTTGGGGATGAGATACTCTATGACCACAGGAATGCTTTAAGACTAATTGCAAACTAGCTGCTTTTTTGCAACGTGTACTGTAAAAATTGCAACTAAAATAAGAGTGTAAACTTAAACAATTTTTCAAATGCAAGGAGGCAGACTCAGTTCTGTGTGTTTTTTGGTTGTTTTTTCCTCCTCCACAGCATGTACTGCATCCCTTGCGAAGGTCCTTGCCCCAAAGTCTGTGAGGAAGAGAAGAAAACAAAGACCATTGATTCTGTGACTTCTGCGCAAATGCTTCAAGGATGCACCATCTTCAAGGGCAACTTGCTCATTAATATTCGACGAGGCAGTAAGTGTTCTATCCACTGGGAGAGATGGCTGAATCACTTGATTTCCTTTTGTTGCTGCTTCTTGTCCGTGAGTCACAACTAAAATATGGGCCTAGAAAAACAATGGTGCATAAGCCTCATGCACGAGGCTTCTCCTTTAAGTTTCCCTCAAAAGATTTATTAAAAAAAAAAAAAAAAAAAGTTCGAAAGACAGCACTGTCTTTCTTAGCCATTGGCAGAGCATTTGTTCCCACAAAGAGGATCATCCCTCCTTTCTGTTAGTCACATCTTAACGTAGGAGAGGCACTTCCCGACACGCACAAACCCCAGAAGGGACCAATGGGTCAGAGGTACGACTCAGCAGACTCCCACTGTAGCCAAATCCAAACATCTTTTAGTACAAAGAGTGCTGGTTAGTACTTGGATTGATTGGATAAAGGAAAGAGTTTAGTGGTAGCACTATAAAGATCTTGTTAAGTCAGAAAGAGTAGTTGAGCTCCAGATTTATCTCTGAGAGCCAGAGAGACACAAGTATGTGCCATTTTGTACTTGAGGCTGAGTCTCACCCCTGTAGGATCACCACTCTTTACAGCAGATGGAATTCTTGGTAAGTTGCTACTGAATTGCATTGGTGCAAATCATTTCCCATTGACTTCTTACTTGGTGATATTTTCCCTTCCAGCCTTTAATTGACAAGAGCTTCGAATACTGTTCCCTTAAATTCTCTGCCACTGGGACCACCAAGATACTGATAGTTTCCCAAGCTAGAATAAGTATAGTAAGAAGATCTTGAAGTTGAAAGGGAATTTTTTTATAAATCCTTTTGTGAAGAAATTACTTTTACATTTTTTTTAAAAAATGACCGATTTATTTATTCTCTGAAATTTACTTTTTCTTAATAATGTTTGTTAAATGAGTGAATTATTCTATTATGGTTTACAAATGGCAGAAACAAGTTTTTGCTTGGTTCTTTTGAATTTTTTTATATCCTTGGTTTTTCATAATGCCCCCTACCCCTCCACCAGGGAGATAATTTTGCTGCCACACAGCTAGAACTTCTTACCTCCAAAATACTTCTAAAGTTTTATTCTTTAACTTTTACTACATTTCTTAATTTATTTTTAATTTTCTCATTCTCTAGAACATACCTTTTAAGTGTTCAATCCTTTTTCATCCTCCTATCCTAAAGAGAAAAATTTAGTCTATGTCCTGATAAATGCCACAACATGGACGAACCTTGAATATGTTACGCTAAATAAATGAAACCAGTCGCAAAAGGACAAATACTGTATGATCTCACTTATATGAAATAAGCAAATGTATAGAAACCAAAGATTATTAGTGGTTATGAGGAGTAAGAAGGAGGGGAGAAGAAGGGATTTTTGCACGGGGGCATTGATTTTTATTTTAATTTGGAAAAGGATAGCAATAATGGTTGTGCAAAATGAAGAATGTAATCAGTGTTAGTGACTTATACAGTAATTGTTGAATTGGCGACGTTTTGTTGTGTATATTTTCACCACAATAAAAAAAAAATTTAATCCATGGAGAAGTGTAATTTGAGGAAGAATTGGTACATGTTCGTGCATGATGATGAACGGTATCTTCCAGTATATGTACAATACAGGAAATCAGTCAGATTTAGGATGATGGGACAGCTCCTGGAAAAGTGTTTCCCCGGCCTTGACTAAAATGGGTGTATACCACCCTAAAATTAAAGAGCTTTTCCTTGAAACATCAGCTGCAGACAATCTGCAGTATTTATACCTTGAATTTCTCCTTGACTTCCTTGGAAGGCCATTAAACTGTACATTAAGTATAGGGCCTTGTGTGCAGAGTAGGACTGCTCCATAGGGTTTTCAAGGTACTCTCCTTTTGGAAGCAGATCATCAGGTCTTTCAAACCACCAACTTTTTGGTTAACTAGCTCTTAACCATTTGCGCCACCCAGGGACTCCATGACCCTCCAGAAAAAGACTCTTATTTTTTAATCTTTATCAATTCAGAGCCACATACAACCTTTTATTAAAGAAATCATCATGAATTATACACAGTAAAACCCCATTAATTGAACCGTACCCAATTCATTATAATATTTATTATAATTTTGGCATAAGTTGAACTGAAGTTTACCTTTTTATTGCCTGGGAGAAAAAGATAGGCTTAACAAGATGAAAAGAAATAGCTGTTTACAGAGATCATATTGTTTTTTTCCTATGCATGAGCAACTATTTTTCAACCTCTTTTCCAGTTATGAAGCTAGTACAGGTGTTTGAGAGAAAACCTAGAAACACAGAAATAAATTCTTTAGGTCACCTACAGATAGCCATTGTTAACATTTTGGTGTGTTTTCTTCCAGCCTTAGTAAGATGCAGTCTTTAAATATAGATTCCTGTATCTTAGGAACTAGAATTGAAAGGTGGCAACGGCAGTTGGTAATGAGACCAAGAAAATGTTGTTTATTTAGTCATGCCCTTGTACTATGGGGGCGGTGCGGTCTGTTGACATAGCATATTAAAAGACGATCCCTAGATTTGTCAGCCCTCGCTAATTGGCAGTCTGGTATTTATGATTTTGCCTTCTGTTCATCAGCCTGGGAAGCTGCAGCACGTCCCATAGAAACTGGCCTCCCCTGTGTCTCAGGCCTTGTCTGGGAGGTTGTGGAAGGAAGGCCAGGCCTAGGGAAATGCCTTTTTGGAAAAGGAAGAGTCCTGAACATCTCCGCCTGCCCCACCCAAACAAGACCTGCCACTTAATTGTTCTCCATAGGTGTTTTTAAAAAACGAACCTTGAAAACATTCTGCTGAGTAAAATAAGTCAGTCACAAAAGGACAAATACTGTGTGATCCCACTTATATGAAATACCTAGTCTAGGCAAAGGCATAAAGACCAAAGTTTATTAGTGGTCACAAGGGTGGGCAGGAGAAGGAAGAAAAGGCAGTGTCATTGCTTGGAGGATACTGAGCTTCTGTTAATAATTTAGGGCGATGACAAAATTTGGAAATGGATAGTGATGATGGTTGAACAACATGATGAGCATAATTAATAGCACTGAATTGTACATGTGAAAATTGTTGAAATGGTTAATATTTCATATATATTTACCACAATTAAAAAAAAAAAAAACAACCCTGAAGTGTGTCACCCTTCGGCTAAGCGAGCTCGTAGTAACACTGCCCCTCTTAATTTAGATAACATTGCCTCGGAGCTGGAGAACTTCATGGGGCTTATCGAGGTTGTGACGGGCTACGTGAAGATCCGCCATTCCCATGCCTTGGTCTCCTTGTCCTTCCTGAAAAATCTTCGCCAGATTTTAGGAGAGGAGCAGCTAGAAGGGTAAGTGCCCCCGATTTCATGAGCTGGCACTTTTGATTTTACAGAGTAAGTAGTGTGCCTTTAAAATTCTGGGTTACTAAAGTAAGAATCTTTTTTTTTTTTTTTTTTTAAATAATAGAAGGGGTATGTGCCAGTCAGGCTGGTGCTGCCTGGGTCAAGCCCTGCCTTGCCTGAGGGTCCACCTCCTTGCGGACAGTCACAATGCTCTGTCCTTAGAATATTGCTGTTTTGGAAAATAGGGATGTTTTCAATCTTACTGTATTGTGACCCATCAGCCAAGGGTTACATGTCTGACTCGGGGGCTCTTTCTGCCAGGGGTGACAGGAATCCGTTAAATGTGCTAAATCATCATTCCATGACCCTCATCTGCCTCGGATACTGGACTCGACTCTGTAAAAGCCATGCCAGCTTTTCAAAATACATTGGAACACGAGATTTAGAGGCATATGGACAGTTCCTTTTGTTATAAAGAAGTCTTGATTTATGAAATTGTTTTCAGTGATGAGCTTATAGGATTTGCACTACTGATGGGATTTTTGCCCTCTGCAGGGATGTGCTATGTGATAGAAGTTTTAAAGTAAGCTTAGGCTTTTCACTGGAGGCTAGAAGTCTGCGCTTACTGCATGCACACAGTCTTCCCAGGAGTTAACTGGGGTGTACCTTTCAAGTGTATTTTTCCCTTCCCGTCCACCCTTTTAAATATAGCGCATGCCTGACTAAACTAACATTTGGAGATAAAAGGAGACTTATCTATTAATGAGCAAATTCCTTATGAAGTGAAGTTGGGGAAGTAATTTAGGGGGAAAAAGGAGGTGGGAAGGTCATGAGAAAGGTTGTGCTTGCTGATTTCTTGGCCCCAAGCGGATAAAGTTACCCTATAAAGGTTTCTTGACAGCCTCCCTGTTTTTCTCAGGCTAACTCGTAGTCAGTCTTAAATTCTTAAAATTCCACCATCTCATATAGCTAAAGAGAGAGGGCAGCTCTTCATTCCATCTTTGAAAAGCACACTGTCCTCCCCACTGGGAGCACTGATTCTTTAGGAAAACTTTCTTTCCTTTTTTTTTTCATTGTGCTTTATGTGAAGGTCTACAGAGGAAATTAGTTTCTCATTAAACAATTAATACACATTATTTTGAGATGTTAGTTGCCAACTCCACAACGTGTCAACACTCTCTTTCTCAACCTTGGGTTCCCATTACCTGACCCCTCCTGCCTTCTCATTCTTGTCCCTGGGCTGGTGTGCCCCACTAGTCTTGTTTTGTTTTATGGGCCTGTCTAATCTTTGGCTGAAGAAGGGTGATCCTCAGGAGTGACTTCACTACTGAGTTAAAAGGGTATCCGGGGGCCATACTCTCGAAGTTTCTCCAGTCTCTGTCAGACCACTAAGTGGGCTTTTTTTTGTGAGTTCTACATTTTTCGCCAGCTCTGTCCAGGACCCTCTATTGTGATCCCTGTCAGAGCAGTCGGTGGTGGTAGCCAGGCACCATCTAGTTGTGCTGGACTCAGTCTGGTGGAGGCTGTGGTAGTTGTGGTCCATTAGTCTTTTGAACTAATCTTTTCTTTGTGTCTTTGGTTTTCTTCATTCTCCCTTGCTCCAGATGGGGTGAGACCAGTGAAGTATCTTAGATGGCAGCTCACAAGCTTTTAAGACCCCAGACACTACTCACCAAAGTAGGACGTAGAACATTTTGTTTATCAATTATGTTATGCCAATTGAGTTAGATGTCCCCGGAGACCATGGTCTCCAGCCCTCAGCCCAGTAATTCAGTCCCTTAGGGAGTTTGATTGTTTCTGTGAAGCTTCTATGACCTTGCCCTGGTCAAGTTGTGCTGACTTTACCCAGTATTGTGTACTATCCTACCCTTCACCCAAGTTACTACTTATCTGTTGTCTATTTAGTGAAGAAAACTTCTTTCTTGTTGCATATCCGGGAAGGCCACCCCTGTGCCCAGCCCAGAGTGACTCTAGTCACCTGTGTGGCAAGCTGGGGCCCTGCCAATTTGAGGTGGTGGTTAGTGATTGTTGTGTTACATATTTAAATGAATTGTAGCTCAGTTTTTTCTTCCAAGTGGTGTTTGTGTTTCTGGAATCCCTTGTGTCAGGTGGCACATTGGGATTTTTCACCTTTTCCTGCTGCTTAGACACTGTTTTTCTTTTTTTTTTTTTTTCCTTCAGTCTGAGCAGGTGATAGAGGTGAAACGTGAGAGTTTCATTCATTCTTATTAGCGATTACCTTTTAGTTGTGTGTTGACTAGAAGTACAGGCACTTAAATATAGCTGAAAATTAAATCCTGATTTTTATTTGCAAGAATGTTGATGGTGTATTTCTCATTATCTAAACTTTTATAAAACCTGAAGTATCAGTGGGATCTTTTTAAGGATTCATGTTGTTACTCAGGTCTTTTGGGAGGTTTCACAGGTAAGCTCCCAGGCCCCTACCCTGCTGTTAGTGGTTGAGATGGGAGCAGAGGGCAAAGGGGCCTCAGGTTTTCACAACCTACTGCTCATCAATAGCCCTGTGAAAGGGCTTTGTAGCTCTGAGGATGCTGGGGTTCCAGCCTTTCATTCCCGCCTGCTCCTTCTCAAAGGCTCTCTCCTTCTATAGCTAGGGCTCTTGAGAATCTTGCATTTCTTTTTATTTATTTGTTAAAATACTCTATTGTGTTGTTGAAGAAAATTTACTTAACAAATTAGATTCTCATTTAACAATTTCAATACATACTATTCAGTGGCACTGGTTACACTTTTCACAATGTGTCAGCACTGTCATTATTTCCACCCTGGTTGGTCTGTTTCCATTCATCTAGCTTCCTTGTCCCCCTTACCTTCTCATCTTTGGCCTAGGGTAAATGTTGACTGTTAGGTGTCATTTAGATGATTGTTTAGAGAAGCACAGTACTCACGAGTGATATTATTTATTTTATAAACTACTCTGTTTTTGGCTGATAGGTGACCACCAAGAGTGGTTTGAGTTCCAAGCTTAAAGGGTATCCCAGGGTGATAGTTTCAGGGGTTCCTGTAGTCTATACCAGTCCAGCAAGTCTGGCCTTTTTTAGGAATTTGAGTTTTGTTCTACATTTTTCTCCCATTCTATCTGGGACCATCAATTGTGTCTCTGGTCAGAACAGTCAGTAGTGGTAGCCGGGTACCATCCAGTTCTTCTGGTGTCAAGGGAGGTGAGACTGTGGTTCGTGTAGACTATTAGTCCTGTAGACTAGTTTCTTCTTTGAGTCTTTTGTTTCCTTCATTATCTTTTGCTCCAGACGCATGGAGACCAATAGTTGTATCTTAGATGGCCACTCACAAGCTTTTAAGACCCCAGATACTACTCACCAAACTAGGATGTAGAACATTATCTTTATGCACTATTTTATGCCGGTTGACCAAGTTGCCCTCCGAGACTATGGTCCTAAGCCCTCAAACCCAGTAACCCAATCCCGTGAGGTGTTTGGTTATGTCTAGGAAGTATCCATAACTGTGCCCCCATGTGCTTTATTTTATATGTGAATATATATGCAGCATACACAAACGTGTATACATTTGCCTACAGAAACATCTATACGCAAGCAACCATATATTCAGATGTGTTTACTTATACATACGTAAGCATACCTAGGTAACCACACACATATTTTTAGGTTGTTATTGATGTTGTTGCAAAATTGTATATGTTGTGGCTTTTACCAAAATTATCTCTTTTTCTTGTGTACTTCTTAGTGTCATCTTTTACCTTGGTCAAGTTGTGCTGACTTTACCCTTTATTTGGTATTCCCTTACCCATCATCAAAACTAACAAGTGTCTGCTATCTAAAAAGTGATTCCCCTTCCCTCTTCCTCCCATTTCTGGTAACCAGCAAAGAATGTTGTTTTCTGTATGTATACCTATTCTTGTCCTTCTATAATAGTGAGATCATTCAGTATTTGTCCTTTTGTGATCAACTTATTTCACTCAGCATCATGTCCTCCAGGTTCATCCACGTTATAATATATTTTGAGTACTCATCATCATTCTTTATGGCTGTATAGTATTCCATTGTGTGTATGTACCACCATTTGTTTATGCATTCATCTGTTGATGAGCAGTTAGGTTGTTTCCATCTTTTTGCTGTTGTGAATAATGCTGCAGTGAACATACGTGCACACATGTCTTTGTGTTGTAGTTCTCTAGAGGATATTCCTAGGAGTGGGATTGCTGAATCATAGGGTGTTTCTGTTTCTAGCTTTTTGAGGAAGCACTGTACTGTCTTCCATAGTAGTTGAACCAATTTACAATCCCACCAGCAGTGGAGCAGGGTTCCAATTTCCCCACAACCTTGCCAGCATTTGTTGTTTTCTGTTTTTTTGGATCAGTGCGATTTTTACAGGGGTGAGATGGTATTTCGTTGACATTTTAATTGCATCTCTCTGGTGGTTAATGATCGCATTTTCATGTTGGCCGCTCGACTGTCCTCTTTGGTGAAGTGTTTGTTCATGTCCTTTGCCCATTTTTTAATTGGGTTGTCTTTTTGTTGTTGAGTCGTTGAAGTTTTCTGTATATTTTAGAGATAAGACTCTTACCAGATATATAATTCCCAAAGATTTTTTCCAATCTGTAGGTCTCTTTTTACTCTTTTGATAAAATCTTTTGATGAGCGTAAGTATTTAATTTTTAGGAGATCCCAGTTATCTAACTTGTCTTCTCTTGCGCATGCATTTGTAGTTGTGTTTGGTAACCTATTACTGAAAATAATTAGGTCCCATAGTTTTGGCCCTATATTGAAGTTTTAACTTTAACATTTAGGTCTTTGACCCATTTTGAGGTAGTTTTTGTGCATGGTGTTAGGTATGGATCCTCTTTCATTTTTCTGCATATGGATATCCAGTTTTGCCAGCACCCTTTGTTAAAGAGACTGCTTCTTCCCTATTTAATGGACTTTGACCCCTTGTTGAAAATCAGCTGCCAGTTCTGTTCCATTTGTCTATGTGTCTGTCTTTGAACCAGTACCAGGCTGTTTTGATTA